CGTGGCTCCTCCCGGGCGCATCACGGCGGGCGGAGCCTCCGCGGCCGAGCCGAGCCGAGCCGGGCCGGGCCGGGCAGCGCAGCACGGTGGGGCCGGGGGGCGGCGTGGGACCCCCGGCTGCGGGCGGGCAGCGCCGGGGGGTGCGAGAGAACCGGGGGGTGCCGCTGGAAGGGTCTGCGGGCGGGAGGTGGGTGCGGGGGCACGGAGAGGGAGGCTGGCGGGCTGGCAGGGCGGGGACCCCGGTGGCAGCCGTGGGGTGACCCTGCTGTGTGCCGCAGGTGCCGTCCGGAGGTGCCGGGCCCCCCCAGCACCCAGCGCAGCTCGGGTACCACCGGCGGGGCCGGGCAGCATCTTCTCCTGCATCCCTGGGCGCGTGACGCGCCGGGCGCCCGTCCATCCTCGGGGACAGGCCGTGCTCGGGCCCGGCCACCTCCGGCCTCTGACGCCTTCGGGACCCCTTCTCCAGGGAATTCAGCTCATCCAGGCCCTGCTCGTACCTATGGAGACGCTTCACGGACCGTCAACAAACAGCACGTGTGGGCCCCTCCCAGCATGGAGCACCGCTGGATGAGCTCTCAGAGAAGTCCTGGCGTGGTTTCTAAGCAAGGCCGGGCTGCCTGCTGCGATTTTAGCGCCCTGCTCCCTCTCCTGAGCCCTGCCAGCCGCTCGTGGATCCCCTGGGATGTTCTCCCTTGAGCTCCAAGCAGCAGCCGCCGACCTGGACAGAGCCAGCGGGGATTCTTGCGGAGCTGCTGGGAAGGAGCTCCCGTTGGTGGAGCTCTCCTGGGGCAGATGAGCGAGCCGGTGATGAACGGGAGGGTGCCCCTGCCGGAGAAAGCTTTGTCCGAGGGCTACGCCCGCCTGAGGTACCGGGACACCTCCCTGCTCATCTGGCAGCAGCAGCAGCAGAAACTGGAGTCGGCTCCCCCCAACACCTACCTGAGCCGCAGCAGGAGCATGTGGTACTCGCAGTACGGCAACGAGGCCATCCTGGTGCGGGACAAAAACAAGCTGGATGTCTCCAGGGACACGGGGCAGTCCAAGTTTTGTGCGATTATGTAATTCCCCGTAGGAATCCGCACGTGGAGAGGAAGCAGAGCTGGGGGAGGTGGGTGTGCGCCAGCCTCTCACAGCCCCGCAGGAAGCAGCGGTGCGGGAAGGCTGAAGTTTGATTGTTTCTGTTTGATTTTGCTGTTTAGAGACTCCCATTGTGCATGTCGGCGAGTGTGTGCAGCAAACCCAGTCTGGCTGGGGAGCTCTCGGGCCTGGTGCTGCCCAGCATCTTGGCAGGGGCCGTGCTGGACCGTGTGTTGCTTCTAAGAGGCTCGTGTGCCCTGAGAAACACCCGCTGGCACCTGGGCACCGTCCCCAGCCACCCCTCCTGGCCAGTCCTGGTGCATTTCCAGAGCTCTGGGAATGCTGGTGGGACAGAGGCGAGCACAGATCTGTTCCCATCAAGGCTGTGGTTTTAAGAAGTTGATCTCCAAAACCATCTGGCCATCACTTGTTCTGTTTGCCCTGTCTGTCTTTAATTCCTGCCCCAAAGTGGTCTCTTCCAGCCAGGGAATGGAGTGGTTTGTTGTGGGAACAGGGAGAGAATGTGTTGAGAATTTAATCCGAGCCTTCAAAACACCTGGTAGGGAAAGGTGTGCTGGAGTTTTCATGCAAAGCCAAGGTTCTCTCTGATCCCACGGTGTGGGATCATGGAAATAACAGGAGCTCTGGAATCAGGGGGGCTGACTCCTTTCAGGAACAGATCCCCCATGAACCACCCAAAAGGGAGGGACAGGCCCAGGAAAGCAGCAGCAAGAACTCCCTGTAAATACACACACATCCTGAAGCTGCTGCACAGCACAGAGCCACTCCTGAGATGGGCTGCAGAAGGACAGAGGCCACTGGAGTTTGCTTTGCATTCAAGTTTTAATGCATGCAGTAGCTTGGAAGGGTTTCACTTCTAGTTCAGGTTGGATTGTAGGTTTGGTGCATGTACTTTCGAAGTTGTGTCTGGGATTGTTACAATTAACCAGAGGATTTTAGGAGGGAGAAGCACTGCCCTGCTTGGGCACAGAGGCTGCTGCTTTCAGGTTTAAGTTTCTGCTGAATCCTGACTTTTCACGCTGAGAAACTCAGCCCAGCAAGCACCTGAATCTCTGTTAGAAACAAAACTACCACTTCCAGGGGTGTGAATTATGTACCCAGGGTTCAGCATGAAAGTTCTTCAGGGTTCTGCCCTTCCTGTCCTGCCTAGGCCATGTGTGCAAGGCAGCAGTGCCTGGGCACAGGCTTAGCTCCAGGCAAATCAGCATTTGATGTCAGCTTCAGGATGGATTATTTACCTGCCTATTATTAGGCACAGTCATTACTTCTGTTCTATTTATCTAAAACCTCCTTTGCATTTTTTGGAGCACTTTATTTTATTTATTTTTTTTTAAATACAGTGAAGAATCTCTTCCACCTCTCCCGTGTGGGTGAAATGCTACAACAAACACACAGACACTCAGCCTTGCTGAACTCAATGTACTGAGCAGAACACACCTGTTCTAGAGTGAAATCATAGAGGTTTGGTGTACTCAGCCCTGCAAACAATAGGCAGCTTGTTGTTTTTTTTTTAAAAGCACTATTCCTGCATGTGTTGGTGTTTGATACCTTGTGTGTGTGCTCATAGATTTAAAGCTGCTGGACCTCGCTGCTTTGCTCTGCACACAAATAACCCTCTTGGTTTTGTCAGGACTGGCTCTGGAGGAGAAACAACTCAGTGAATAAATATTTTTGAACCCAGTGCAAGCGTTCAGTGAGATTCACAAACCCAGCGAGGCTCGGCGAGGTGCCGGGGGAGCAGTGCCAGGGATGTGTGACCCACCCGGGCCTCCAGCTCCTGCCTGAGTGAGCAGGAATTATTTACTCAAACAGGCAGGAGACTGGGCCCAGAGCTCCCCTGGGAACTGCAGGTGGATTCACCTGGAGAAGCAGGAGAGAGGGGGGGGTTCCAGGCCAGCCCTGGGGAGCACGTGAACTCTGGGAGTTTAAGGAACAGCACATCCCCCAAACCAGCTGTTCGTTTTCTTTTCTTATAGAAAAAGAAATCCAACACTTATTTTCTTTTTAATTTCAGCAAGGAAGAAAGATGCTTATTTTGGGTATAATCAGTCTCTTTTTGTTAACGTGGCTGGTAAACCAAAATTCAGTTATTTTGCAGAGCGTTAATTGGACTATACAAGACTAAACCCGTAAGAATGTGCATAAATTCTTCCAGGATGGAGGCTGGATGTGACAGTGCAGGAAGAAGAGGATGAGTTGTCCTTCCATCTCTGTGAATGTGACTGTAGTTTTCCATTTCTGTGTGTCACTGGTCACAGCAGGGTTGTGGAGTGGCTGCTGTGGCTGTTCTGTGAGCCAGCTGCGTGGTTGTGATGCACTTGTTTCAAACACTGTTGTAGCCTCTTTGATAAAGTGCATTAAAATGATTTGAATGCAGCTTTTTGAGTGGCTGTTTCTCCCCTGCATGTCCATGGCTCTGGTACAGGTGACAGCTTCTGGCATTCCCCTTTTGGGAGGGAGGAATCCCCTCAGTTACTGGTGGGGCTCCCAGAGCACAGCACTGGCCTGGGAGCTGCAGGGGAGGCTCCTCCAGCTCCCCAAGGCCAGCAGCACTTTCAGGACAAGGAAAGCTTGGGTGTCACACTGAATGAGGGAATTATTATGGAAAACACCTCAGAGATTTGTCACACCCAGCTTGTGACCGATGCCCACCTTGTCCCCAGCCCTTCTGTGGGCACCTCCAGGGATGGGCACTCCAAACCTCCCTGGGCAGCCCCTCCAAAGCCCGAGCACCCTTTCCTCAAAGGAATTGCTCCTGCTGTCCAACCTGAACCTCCCCTGCTGCAGCTTGAGGCTGTTCTTTTTGTCCTGGGAGAGACCAAACTCCACAAGCTCCGTTTAGGCAGCTGCAGAGGAAGGTCTTCCCTGAGCCCCCTTTTCCTCCAGGCTGAGCCCTCTCAGGACACACTTTCCAGAGCCTTCCCCAGCTCTGTTCCCTTCTATGGACTCATTCCAGCCCCTCCATGTCCCTGTGGCAGACCCAGCCACAGGAGTCGAGGCATGAGCAGTGAGAGCTGAACCTCAATCATGTCCTCAACCTCCTCCCAGCCTGAAGAAACAGCTCTGCTCGCTGCCCCTAGAAACAACTCACCTGCAAATGCTACAGAAACATCCTCACCCGCCCCACAGGAGATTATTTGGGGGACAAACAGCCCACGGGAGTGTCACTGGTACAAGAGCAGAGTTTTGTGCTGAAGCCTTGGAGAGGCAGTGAGCAGGAACAGGGTTAGAGAAACATTAACCCTGGGGAAGCCTGGCTCTGGCAACCCCACCTCGCACAAAAAGCAAAGGGCAAAACCAACCCCAATCCTCCCTGGTGCCCAAAATAGACCCTGGCCCCTGCACAGCAATGCCAGGACTCTGCTGGCACTGGCACAGCTGCTCCAGGCCCCCCTTGCCAGGCTGAGCCTGCCAGGTCACCCTGAGCTCACAGAGCAGGGGACACAGTCCCTCTGCTTCCTGCAGGTCCTGGTGGCTTCCCAGAAGCCAGCAGCACACCCGGGTAAAATCTGATCTCCTTTCAGCCCAACTTACCTCAGCCAGGAGCAATTCTCACAGAATTTAAGACCCTGCAGAGTGTAAGATGCTGGGAAGAGCTCAAGCCCTTCCTTGGCTGCCCAGGGACATGAGAGCAGCTGAGTTTCCCTCACCAAAAAAAGGGGATTTAAAGCAGTTTTATTCCAGGTTCTCAGCAGTGGTTCAGACACCCCAGAGCTGCCCCCACTCAAAGGGCAGTCGGCCCCTTGAGGGTGACATTCCCCAAAACAACTTCCAAATTATTCCAGGCCTCGTGGCACCAGGATTCAACCTCCTGGGGTTTGGCTCCTGGCACTGCTCAGTCCACGTTTGAGTGCCACACCTGGAAAAGGTGAGGAGAGGGGAAAATATGGGATCAAACTGCACACACCAAACAATTTTTCTTTTTATTATGAAAACAAAACGAATGCCCCAGGATCAGGGTCCGTGATTACCAGTAACATCAAAGATTACTTTCTAACTCTTTTTTTTTAAATTCTGTTTTGTTTGAGGCCAGCAATTTGCAATAAACAAGCTAAACTACTTACATTGACTCATTTCTTTTCAATAACTGACATTTACAGGAATATACTAGAAATGGCACTAAAAAGTTTTAAGAAAAAGAGTTACGGTAAATTTGCATGCACATCATACAGAAAAGTAACAATTTCTTCTTCTTTTTTTTAAATATTAAAAAAACCCCAAAATAACAAAACAAAAAATACAACAACAAATCTTTCTGGATTGGTTATGCCAGTATCAGGGCTGTGTTCTAAGTGGCCTGTGTCAAATCCTAGCTGGTGGTTTAATTTATTTTTTTAAAAATGACATTTTAAAAAGATATGCAAATACCATTTTCTTTACAAAATGCAGCTCAAGCAAGATAACGCTGCTGTGTAAGGAATCCTAAATTTCTCTTTACTGATGCAGAGCCTGCCCACCAGTTAACCCTAGTGGTAACTGCTCAGGGTTAAGAAGAGACTGAGAATTTAAAATCCAGTACTAAAAACATTGTGGTTTATCTTTGTCATGTCCCGATCCCTTCCCCTCAGCTCCAACCCCAGCTTTAAAAAAACATCATTCCTTTCAAAACAAGGAAGAAAAAAAAAAAAAAACCAAAATTAAAACTGCTCTAAGAGTCCCCAAAGCAGAGAAAGAACTAGATTAGATAATTGCAGTCTGCTTCTACCACATAGAGAAGAGGGAAGAGAGCTCAGGGGGAACTCAGCTGTGGATCCCCCAAAACCAGAAATGATGTTTTTGTGTGATTGGGGGTCACCACCCTCCCAGCAGTGACACAGCCCTGAAACATCACTCCCTGGGGGTGGGCAAGGTTCAAACCACATCAGTACAAAAACTGAAATGATTTCGTTGTGTAGATGACACATTTGGTGTGCAGAGAGCTGAGAGATTCCTTCGGTCGCTGGGATGGGGATCTCCCTCTGGTCCCATGAGACAGGATGAGTTTACAATCAGAGAAAAGGTTCACAAAGTTTTTTAAAAGGTGCAGTAATGCTGGTTGATTGAGAAAGGTCTGGTCAGATATTTTGTCAAAACAGGAATTCGTCCGAAAAAAGCAGTTTTCAATAAAACTCTGTGTGTATGCATACATATGAAATCATACTGATTTCAGTGAAGTTTCCCCTGGAAAACAAAGTTAAACTTTGTTCATTCAAGAAAAATTCTACCATAAAAACTTTAATTTTTTTTTTTCCTTTTTTTTTTTTTTTGTTTTTTTATTCTTAAGTTTAAAAATGTTCTTCAAACGCTGTGTGTTTGATCATTTCCGAGTTATTTTGCGACATCTGGACTGACGTGTCATGCAGTAAAATTCAGTTAAATAAATGCTCTGTTGCTTCAGTTCCCAACTCATTTAGGACTGCTGCTACTTACTCTGGACTGGAAACATCTTTTCTTTCCTGGAGAAACTCAGGATGTACAGGAGGCACCCCCATGGACGTGGTGGGGATAAAGAGCACAACAAATAAGCTGGGAAGTGGAAAAGTGTAAGGACAGCATTTGGAAGTGAGGAATCACCAAATTCTTCTCTCCATCATGCCAAAATGGATTTCTCCTTGCTCCATTTCACTTTCCACACAAAGTTTCCCAATAAGTGGAAGCCCGAGTTGCAGCTGGTGGATCAAAGATGTGCAGCAGATCCTTCCCATCCCGTGGTGGCCTTGGCAGGTTGTTTTTTGGAAAATCCCCGGGCTGGGATGGTTTTCCAGCTCCAACAGGGATCCTCCTCGGGTCACGCCTTTTCCCAGCACCTCACACGTGCTTCTCAACCCTCTGGCTCCAGCTTTCCCAATTAATTCTGGTGAGGCAGCCCCGTGGCTCCTGGAAGGATGTCTGTGTGTTCCAGGGACTGTTCCTGATGCCAGAGATGAAATTCCCATTTTATTTCTTGTGGCAGTGAAGCTGTCACCTCCAATTTGTCCTCCCCACAGAAGCCACCACCACAGCTCAGGGTCAAGCACGCAGGAAAAGGTCCCAGGAAGGGAAAACTGGGATTTGTTTATCCAAAAGCCATGGCAGTGAATTGGTTGCAATTATTCCTTAAAATATTCCTTGGTTTCGATCATTCAAGTCGCAGGCAACAGGAGAAAACACAGGTGAAACCCAACCCCGTTAAAAAGAAACCCAAGCTCTTAATTAGGTGAATATTACATTTCCTCATAGTAAATTCTGAAAAATATATTACCAGGGATCTGTCTGGGGGGAGGTTTAAAAAAAAATCAAAACTGAATTCTATTGTTAATGGAAAATAAAAATAATGAATTTCAGTAAAAATCAAATTTTTTTTTTTTTTTCCCAATTGCTGTGGGAAAGAATCTCTGGTCAGCAGCACATTTTTGAGAGGCCCAAGTGTCCAGCAAATGACCCTTGGCTGATGGGCAGTGGTGACTGGCACTGAGCAGGGGAGCAGCTGCAAGTGCAGAGCTTTTAGGGCCACCCCACAGGGGAGAGGCAGTTTTAGGGGCTGGTGCTGGAGACAGAAAGGCAGAACTTTCTGTTCAACTTTCTACATATTTTTTTTCTTCACAATAAAACTTCTGCCCCTCAGATTATAAATTTGATATAGTTACAGAACTGGTGTTTTCCTAAGTTTGGATTAGAAAAGGATAAAACCCCCATTGTTCTACCAAAAGAAAAAATGAGGGGAGGAAAAAAGACCACTGAGAAAATAAAATTGCATTGAAGTGTATGTCTTCAAAATCTGTACAAAACAGGAAAAAAGGGGGCTGGGGTGAAAAGAGAGAAAAAAAATTAAAAAAACAACACACCAAACATGACAGAGCAGCAGACACACAAGAGACTGGACTGTAGCACCTGTAGGTAGAAAGTCCAAGGTATATAAATAAAGTTGTGGGTTTTTATTTGCTTTGTTGTTGTTTTGTTTGTTTGTTTTTAATCTGGTTCAAAACCTCATTAGAAGTCTTCCTGTCTGCTGGCCTGCAAAACCCCAGCTTTGCTTTTGTTAGGTTTAATTACGTTTTAAACAACCAATGGTGTTTAATAAATAAAGTCATGGTATATACATGAAATTAGGGACACTGAAACCAGGGTGTATTGCAGCAGAGGTCAAAACATTAGGCTGGATTGAAAAAAACAGCAAGCTTTAAAAAAATTAGCTTTTTTTTTTCTTCTCCCTCCCCTTTTTCTTCTTTTCATACAGGTAAAACATTTCAGTGCCTGGAATTTGAAACCCTGCCTGACACAGGAGGAGCATCCCCTCTCTAGGAGAACGATGAGGAGAGGGAAGAAAACCAAAGCAAACTCACAAAAAGCCCAAACCCACACAAAATCCCTCTCCACTTCCCCTGCCAGCTCAGCCTCAGCTGGAGCTCAAGTGCTGCTTTATTTTAAGCCCAGGCTGAGGTGTTGGTCATGGAGAAAATGCCCAAGATGAGCCCAGTAAGGAGCACATGACTCCTCCTGGTCACTGCAGGGATCCCTCCAGCTGACAGCTCCCAGCCAAAAAAAACTCCTCTCAATTCCATGAAAACTTTCATAGAGAGCATCCCATTTCCTGGAAATCAGCTGTTTAATGGGAAAAATAACATTCCCAAGAAACTTGAGCGTGTCATTGCTCCCTTCTTCCCAATGAATCCCCAGGAAAAGTGAAGCTTTTGAGTGGAAAACCAAGAAATGCAACCATTTCTATTGCTCGTGTGCTTAAAAGTTAAAGTCATGCTTCAAAACCTTCCTGAACAGGTGCCTATGCCTCTACCAAGATTAAAAAAAAAGCATGTTAGCAATCCACAGTACATGAGAATTTTTTTGGATTTTTTTTGTGGTTTTTTTATGTAAAAAGATGATAGCATCTGACATTTTCATCACACTGTAGACTTGGAGATTAAGAATACTAGTGCTAATAACAAATACACCAACTAGTTCAAAAGCTAACATCTTTCAGATACAGTACCATTTTACAGAGATTTCTTAAAAAAAAGATGGTTTTTTACCTTGTGTGAGCCAGGCAGGCTTATTAAAAGAGAATATTCTGGGGAGAGGGAAGGGCTGGGAGGGAAATGTACTACAAACCTTGCAGAATTGTCTATTTATCTCCTGCTAAGAGCTCAAAGTTCTTCCATTTCCGACCAATTTTCTCCGGATAAATGCAAATTTTAGAGACTTTATGCAAAGGGAACTATTTGTCATAAAGTCTAGTCACACACACACACACTCAAAGATCTTTGACCTATTAAAAGTGAGCCCACTCCCCCCACCCCCCAAAAAAAACAAATTAAAAAAAAAAGGAAAAAAAAGGAAATTTGTAACACTGAGTTAAAAAATAAAATAAAAAGTCAGAGAAAAGAGAGAGGGGATAACAGCTGCCCAGGTGAGAGCAGGGTGAGGAGGGAGGGGAGGGGACACTGCAGAGCAGGGGTGTCCGTTTGGGGGCTGTGTCCCAGTGTCCGAGCTCATTCCGAGTCGCTGCTGTCCGAGCTGGAGCCGCTGGAGCTGCTGCTCCCGGACTCGGAGGAGGAGCTGCTGCTGAGCCGGGAGGGGCCTCCGGAGGGAGCCGAGCCGGATTTCTCTGCGGGAACAAGGCAGGGATGTGGTTACTCAACACAGCCCTGGTGCCCAGCCTGGCTCCCCGAGTGATGCTGGTATCCCCCAGCTGCTCTGCTCAGCTTGGATAATCAATTTTGCACCTTTAAGGTTGGTTCTTGACGCTGTCGAGCCAGGACTCGCACCATTTCACAAGGCAAAATGAGCATTTATTCAAAAGCACTTCTCTCTTTTATAGAAAACATCCTGGATTGTAAATGCAGGCGAACCCAATGGGAAGAAATGCTGATTTCTGACTCAGTTCAGAAGGCTGAATGATTTCTTTATTATAACTATGCCAAAATACATTAACATATATATATATATATAAATATATAAATATAAATAAATATATATAAATATATATATATATATAAGGAGGATATTAAAACTACATACTACTTTCTCTGACTCTCACACAACTCGTGGCACTCTCTTGAGAATCCAGCCCCAGATGGGTTGGATTGGCCACCAGCCTCAAACAATCCTCACCAGAATCCAACCCAGCAATCACCCCAGGGCAACAATTCTCCAAACACATTCCACGTGGGAAAAACAAAGAGCAGAAATAGAAATTGCTTTCTCTTTCATTTCTCTCTGTGCACCTCTGTGAAAAATCCTGAGAATGAGAGAAATGTGTTTGCCACAATCCTGAACATTAATTCCATTGGTCTTAAAGTAAAAATATTTCACCTGATTGGTACACTGGACTTAGGTCAGTGTGCTAAAACATATCCATAAACAATGTGAACAAGAAAAGATAATAGATTGTTTACATTCCTCTCAGACTTTTTCCCAGGTTTAGCCTGGCAGAAATCTCTTTTTTTTCCTCTCTGACTGAACTGAGAATATCCACAGCTCTGAGGGTGAAGGAGGAGAGAAAAGCAGCGTGGAGTTTCTTCTCAGAAACTGCACTCACTCCTCCACATTCCTGCTCCTGGACTGTGCTGTTTGCAGACAGACAGACAGCAAGACAGAGCTTTTAAAAGCTTTGCTTTTAGTCAGTTTTTAGCTAGCTGAGGCAGAGGAGTTCCCTGAACTGGAGTTTTTGCTTTTTCTTTAGCCCTTTAAGCCTACTCTAAAGTGAACACCCAAAAGAGCAGCTACAGCTCACAGCTTGGTAGCCCACCAAGCCAAGCCTGAGCTGCAGCATTTACAACACCAAAAAGTGTGATAAGATACTGAGTAAGTAAAATTACAGCTCACAAAAGAGACTTTCTGAATTTATCATCACTTTTAAAGCAGCAAAAAGCTTTACTGTTAAATAATATTAGTTCTTTGTACTAGTAAATGCTTTGCCTATTAAATAAACAGCTTTTTTCAAATTTTGTCCAAATAAATATAGTTTCCACCCAGCCAGGGACCAAAGCAGCCCCACACAGCAGCTCAGTGGGAACTCCCTGAGGGTTCCTGTCACAGAGACAAACCCAAGGCTGAGGTTTTGACCCTGTCCAAAGTCTGTTCATTTTTAGGGAGCTGTTTTCCCATAAACACAAAGCCATTACCTTTCTTTGCAGGCTTCTTGTTGTTGTTTAGCTGCCCACTGACGTCCTGTAACCGTTTTTCTAGTTCTTTCTTCTTTTCCTGAGCTAACTCTTCTTTTGACTTTGCTGCTTGCTTTTTGCCACTGGCAGCTGTGGGGGAGGAACAGAGAGTTTCTGAAAGTGCAGGGATGCAGGGGGAAAGAGTGGACATCACTATTTTACAGGGCATGTACATCTGTGTGCACACTCTGCAGTGACACTGCCAACATCCAGTGCTCACACAGCAACTACACATCCCAGAGAGAAGACAACACCTGAAGTTGCCTTGCTCATCAAATCACCACCATCCTGTAACATGCAAATTTTTTTTAACAGAGATCTTCTGGAAAGTATTTTAGAAGATAGAAATATCCATGTAATAACCTTGTCATTACAGGTTACTTACCAGCCAGTTATATGGTCAATAATTACAGATTTGTAATTACAGAATTGTTACATGGGTTTTCTGCCCTGTAAAATAAAGTGTCCCATTAAAGGTTGTCAGGAGTAAAGCATCTGCCATTAAAACTTCCGATCCCCTCACGCAAGAATCTACTGGTGTTTATGTTGCTCTAAATAGAAAACAAAACAAACAAAGGCAAATTAAAACCGAGGCAAAGGCTGGCAGACAACAGGAATGTAACTGCAACAGGATGGAAAGGGTGAGAAGGAGCAGCAACACTCACACTGCCAAGGAAAGGAAATATTCCTGCAAAGGAGGAGTAATTGAACACAGGTGTTGGCTAGGATTGGAAGCACAAGACAGGAGCCAGATATTTTGCCTGATCCAGCAAGGAAATACCTACATTTCTATGAGCTGTTTTAAAGCAATGGTTTAAAAAAAAAAAAACAACAAAAAAAAAAGAAAACTGGAAAGCACAGTCCTAAGAAGGAACACTCAGCACAGGAGTCCAGCCAGGCTCAGGCATGCCAGGCTCACAGGGTGGATATCTGAGGTTATCTCTGTTACTCTGTGCTCTGGTTCCAAAATTGAGGATGCTTCCTGTTCCTAAGAACTCTAGAAAATCCTTTCCTGAGCTAGGCCAACAGTGAAGGATTCAGGGAAAAAAAAAAAAAAAGGCAAAAAGAAAGGTCAAAGTCTATGCTTTGCTTAGGCCTTCCTGAAAATCCTGAGGAAGGAATGGAGATGCTCTGCAAGAACAAGGAGTAGCTTTTGTGTCATAATCCTAAAAGCAGAACTCCCTTAACCAAAAGAGTCAGGAGCACTTCAGGTAAGTGATCCTACTGCTGTCCAGCTGGAGCTAAACTCTCCAGGGTCTGCAGGAATTCTCTTTTTGGATGAGAGACAAAGTCTGTCCCACACTGAACAACACACTCAGCAGCAGATTGACATTCATGCTCTGAACTGACAGAGGTTAAGGCCGATGTGGTGACCAGGACACACAGGAAGAGCAGTTTTGGGGTGAATACACAACTCAAGACACGCCCAGAATCCACAGGTAACCTTGTGCAAATCATTTATTGCCTTGATGGTTTGGATCCCAGCCACGTTTCTTGTTTCCTTCCTAATTAGATGCTAAACTATTCAGGATAAGAAATTGATCCTTGCAGATGTGTGCACGTAACACCTGACACAATGAGACTGAAACCTTTACAGGGCCTTCCAGAGCCTGGGTAAGCAAGAAAGGCATCCCACAGGTCTTGCAAAGGAACACAATGGCTCTCCAGGTCTCTGCAGCAGGACACCATGGGAAGAAAGAACAGAGAAAACCAGGAAGTTTCTGTACATTTCCTTGGGAGAAAATAACCTCTAAAAATTCCTGCCACCACATACCCAACAGGTGCATAAGAGAATCTCAATACACATGCCCTGACTCCAAAGCTGAGCCCAAGAGCTGCTGAGGGGAACACGTTCCCTGGGAGGTTAACTTACAAAATGGTTTCCTTTGTTTTTTCTGTAAACAAGATTTCACGTATCTCTCCAGTTCTCGTAACGTTGTGGGCTTCAAGGTTTCAAAATCTATTTCAATCTCGTCGGGATTGGAGTCTCTGAGGGAAGGTTCCCGGGACTGGATGATGTGAACCACCCTGCCCAGCTTCTCCCCGGGCAGGCGGTTGATGTCCAGGCTGAGCTGTCGTTTCTCATCATAGGTCATGGGCAGCCCTTCCTCCTCCTCATCCGAGTCGTAGGTTGCAGATGCCTGTTTGCCTCCTTTCTTGGGCTGCCTGGGGAGGTTGTCAAGCATGAAAACATTCATGAGGACACAGCAATGAATTCTTTTTTTTTCCCCCCCGACTCCCTTGTAACAAACATCCCCATGCTCTTGGCTTTGAAGCTCTCATCAGATGGCTGGAGCAGCACCACAAGTGCTGAAAAAGTTCAGCAGCCCGAGATCAGCTGTTGTGTTCCTATTATATTTTAGCCCTGTGAAGTGTGACAATGAGCCCAAGGAGCAGCAGGGGGACAGCCATGAAATGGCACGTTCTTGGTGGCTGCACAAAAGGCAGCCCCCAGAACCTTATCTGAGAGCAATCAGGCAGGGATTCAAAGAGCTGGACAGTGAAAACACGGTGGTTCCACTGCCAGCTCCAAGTTAAAGACTCCCTGGAGTTGTCTGGAAATGGGAACAGCATCCAGCAGCAAATTAACAACTACTGAACTTCCCCAGGAATTAAGGGCAGAGCTGGAAGCTCTTGGCTCTCCCCTCAAGGCACCTTGGCTCTCACCTGTTAGCTGTGGTTGTGCTGTTTGCTTTCTTAGCTGGAGCTTTCTTCTGTTGGGTTTGTTTTGGTGGTTGAGCCACCTTGGGTTTCTTCTCCTCCTCAGCTTTGACTTTGTGCTTTTCTTTTTCCTTCTCCTTATCTTTCTTTTTCTTCTCTTTCTCCTTCTTCTCTTTTTTTTTCTTTGGTTTGTTCACTGGCGCTTGGGACAGTGCAGCCAACTGCTCATGGACGGCTTTTAGCTGGGGGGAAACAGAAAAACCATCAAGGCAAGGTAACTACTGCCTCCACAAACCCTTCCCTCTACATCTCAAGGTGTAAGTATATTGTAATGTCAAAAATCAAGCAGCTCATTCTCTGGGATCCCAGAAGGAAGGACAGAGCATCAGCACTGAGAAAAACCATCTTGAAGAAAATTACCATCACACCCAACACGCACCGACTGCACAGCTGAAGGCTTTTCCCCTAAGGCTGGGAATGTTTCCATGCATGCCAGCCTAGGTGGGATTTTTCAGGACACAATTCCTGCTGCTGTGCTCTGTCCGATGCACAGACACACAGCTGGGATGGTGCAGTACCTGCTCCTGGAGCTCGGCCAGCCGAGTCGCCCGCTCCTCCTCGGAATCAGAGCTGTCGGAGTCTGAGGAGCTCTCCTCGCTGCTGTGGCTGCTCTCTGTGCTTTTGCTCACCACTGGGGCTGTGGGGGGAGGTGGAGGGGGAGCCTCTGCAGGCTCATCGGGCATTTTTGCAAACCTCATCTCAAAGACATCCTGCAAAAAGGAGGAAAAGTGGTGACCAAAGGAGCCTCGGCCACAAACAGCTCACTCTGGTCTCGTAAATACATCAGGGGCAGGGTCTTTCTGCACTACAAATAAATAATAATATACAGAATGTGGCTGCCCATCTGGAAATCCCAAGAAAATCACCCAATCACTTTAAAAAACAAGGATTATTATATTTTAGGAGCTGAATGTGTCACTGGGCCCATGCCACGTGAAGAGCACAACAGTCCTGCAGAGAGCACGAGCCTCTTTCCAAGGCTGGAGGAATCTCCCTGTTGGTGCCAAGAGCAGATCCACACCCGGATCTCACCTTGTACCTGAACTAAAAACACTCTGGAAGATGCATTTGCCAACACCGTTACCTGGAGCTTCCTGGCCATGGCCACCACCTCGTGGTCTGGAGGATTGTACTTGTAACAATTCGAGAACATTAACCGAATATCTGCTGCAAAACCTTGTGCATCCTGGTATTCCCGACTGTCCATCTTTTTCTGCAAATAAACAAGCCAAAGGGAAAGGGAAAAGAAAAAAAAAAAACAAGAAAAGCCATTAAGTAAAAAGCATTTGTAGCAACTGCATGGAGAACACATGAACCTCAGAAGAGCCTCAAAAATCTCATCTAAGAGAAGAGAAGTTGGATTTGGGTTGTTGGTTCCTAAATTACATTCAGAGTTTCAGCTTTATAAAACATCAGGCAACCAAAGAAGCTGATATCTCATAGAAGTTCCAACACTAAGATTCTAAATTGGCCTTGTTTTCTAAGTAGTAGAATATAAATCTGTCAGAGTCCACATTCTACCAGAAAATATTTAGAAACTATTAGAAAAATAAGTAAGAAAAATGGATCAGGAACTGATAGAAACAAGGATCATGGATGGAAAGGGCAAGAGTCAACAAGCAAGTTACAATTACAGGAGTACCTGAAGTGTGTATTTCAACATATGCTTGGATATATTTGCCTTGTAAATCTGAAAAGGCAGAAAAGATCACAAAAACCTAACTCTGACTTCCTGCTAACAGAGGGCAGGAGGTTTCCTCTGCAATTCCTACAGCAAAATAGGCACTTACAGTTAAACTACAACTCCCACTCTTAATTTAAAAACCCAACTGATAGAAATGGATACAGTCTTCACCCTTTATGAACTTACTCATAATGTTATTTCCTAGAATAGTGAGGCTAAATGTCAAATATTTGTACCTGGATCCTTTCCCTTATTTTTCAGCTCTCATTTCCAGCCATTTCTCTTGATGTTTGGGACTCAATGATTTGGGTTTAGAGAGCAGTTTATAGCACTCCTAACACTTAATTGATTTTATGCATATATTACTACTATGTATAAAACCTTAGCTTCAATTACTCCTGCTGAAAGGAACCAGAAGCTAACACTAAGTTTCATTTGCATTTAAAAGAGCTGGGTTTAAATAAATTCTCATTTTTGCCAAGTGCTTACAGGCTTCCCTTTTGTGTGTCTTGGGCACCTGTGTGCCCAGAGAAGGGAAGGGTTCAGTGGCAAACAGGCTGGGGACATGATGGGGACAGACATCCCCCATCCCAACAGCAATTGGGGTGCTCAGGGTCTGTCACCCACCCCTAACACAAGCAAAATACTCATTTTTCACAGATGTACAGAAATTTCACAGCTGTGATAGACCTTCTAACTGTCTTGAAACACTGCAATGACTCGTGGAGCTGTTTTTGTTGTGAAAAGGGCAGAATTTCACTTCCAGGGATTCAGCTTCTGAGGGACCTGATGCAGGGTGGAGACATCCCTGCAGCCTTGCTCCCTGCTCTTCTGCAGCCAGACATCTGGCAGACTTTTGTCAGGAGACCTCATTTTCCTGGTGAATAAACCAGGAGACAGCCTGGAAGGCACAGCACAAAAGCAGAATGGGAAATGGGTTTGTGGTGCTCCTGTCTGAAAAGCCTCTCAGGCCAATTCCAAAGCAAAACATATGTTCAAACCAAAGGGTCCATTTATTTTAAAATACATCTTACTGCATGAAAGGCCTTTTTATATTTGTTTGGCATACTAAGGGCCTGATTATTGCCTATGAAATACATTCCAGTGTCTGAAGCTTTGCTTTTCATCCAAACTCAACAGTTTTCTAGCCCTACAGTTTTTAATCTGTGGATTTTTGTTTTGTTTTCTTATAAAGAATAATTAGCTTAACAAAAGAAAGAAAAGCACTTTAAATCACTGGGCTGGAACATCTTGTTACAAATACACTTGGAGATATCCAGCTGCTTACCAAAAAAAAAGTGATTACATTTACAAGTGGAAATCAGGAGTCAGACAGGGCAGCTCACCCATCCTCTATTCCACAAGCAATCACAATTTTCCCCCTCAATCAATTGTTTAAATCACCTTTACTGTTCATAAATTTGTTGCCTCATGTCTAATGTGTCCCCTGCTCTAAGGTAAGTCTCGTCCTGCCCACAGAGGACACAAAGAATGTCTCCTCACTTTTGACACCCTCAGCTGCTCTGAAGCTACAGCAGCTCACTGCAGGAAAATCAAGTGGTGAGCAGAGTTACATCCCTGGAGGAAGTGCTTTATTCCAAAAGTAAACACCTTGTGGAAACCCTCTTGCACAGCAAAGCTTGTTGCTTGTTCACCACTGAGGAAAGCAAAGGCAGAGACATCCAGGTCACTGCTGGGACCTGGCAGCCAGAGGATGGAGCAAAGAGGTGCTCCAGGTCCCCCAGCCCCACAAAGGGGGACAGGGATGTCCTGCAAGTGGTCCCTGCCTGCCTGGGGACAGGGCAGCAGCAGCTCCAGCCTCAGTGCATCCCACTCCTCACAGGGAATTACAGCTGCTGCCTCTCTCTCCTCACATTTCCATCTTTTCCTACTCCAAGCAGTTCTGCCCTTTCCTTCTCTGATAAAGAGAACTGAGATGGAAATGAGCTCACAGATCCTGTCCCTTCAGCTGCTCCCATTCTCAGTCTGAGCTCCAGCACAAAATTCCAGCACGTCTCTCTGCTCCTGGCTGCAGCAAGCTCAGCTACAGCCCCTCCATCTCACCTGCCCCTGGCACAGTCACAACAACCAAACTGCCTCCTCCACCACACACAGAGAAAACAACCTCCAAATACTCCTGGAGACACCTCAGCCAGGGAAGAAAACGCTCCTGGACATGCAGGATATTCTCTGGGGAAAATCAAAGCTAACACAGCCACAGAAGCCAAGAGACAAGATGTGTTACAGCTGCAGCAATACTTGTGTTTTACTGTCTCACATAATTCCTCCCAGGTTAGTTTGGAGGCTCTTAGTTGTGCTGCTTTATCACAGCCATTGTCACTTGGGCAGAATTAAATCTAAAAACCTTTCAGAGCCACAGTGGAAGTCCCTGACACTGGAAAATGACACTGCCTGCAAATGGCAGGTTTCTGTTCCAGGCAGTGAACATATTATGAGCTGCATCTCTGAGAAGTCACACCACGATCTGCAGGCCAAGAGCAATGACAATAAAACACTCCATAAAAAACCAATACCAGACAGCATTTCAAACAACTTAATTAAGAAAAATACCACCATGTGGAATGAGAAACCCAGAGTCTTTAGGTGTAAAAGACTCCACTGGGTTTGCCATCAGCCTGTCTCAAATTTTCTACACTAGTCAAGTGCAGAGAGAGGATATCACCTGCACTTGCCAGGAAGGGGCAGAGGTGCATAATTTTAAAAGAATGAAGTCAGGACCTTAAAGAGATTTAAGCACAAAGAAATCACCAACTCAAGAAATCACAACTTTGCACTTAGATTTTTTTCAGAACACAGCACAAGGATCTCTTGCAATAGGAAATCACCTAAGCACACATGGAAATACCAGCCTGAAAGGGTCAGGATCTCACTCTGCCCATCTCTAATCTTCCTGCAATCACTTGGGGCTTCAGCTATCAGGCTGCAGGTATGTCTGGAGACCCAGAGCATCCCTAGGACGGATGCATGGCACATCAGAGTGTGACGTGCTGCTCCCAGGTACCACACAGCATCTGCCAAGGAGTATGACAGGAATCACAACCACAGCTGCCCTTCTGTCACCTGGGCATTCAGACAATCCCAGGCACTGGTTCAGCTGCCAGTAAAACCCTTCTGGCAATGCCACTGAAAGGCAGCAATTACAGTATCTTCAGCTCCTGCACATGGAAGTCTCCCCTCCATCAACAGAGAATTAAGTTCCTGGATTCTGCCTCACAAGAAGATGGGAATTACAAAGACAGGGCTTTGCTTCATGGAAGGATTCAGCAAACCTCCAAACCTACTGGGAAAAACAAGAATATTGGATCATGCTAAGCTAAACTCTTGAGGAGCCAAGCATGGACCACAAAACCAGCACATATCTCCCTGAGTACCATCACATACCAGCTGGAATTGCTCAGTGTAAGCCTATCTGCCACCACCAAGTAGGCAAGCAGCAGCTTCTGGAAATGGGATACCATCAATTGGATCCTATGAAATAAAGCACCTCCTCTTCTCAGAGTGCAACACAATGCTAAGAACACCAGTTAAATACCTGGACTAGCCACAAATAGGAGAGGATGCCATTGTACTTCGCTTTGTGTACATCATCTGCTTTGCAGGGCAGGAAAAAAAATTGTCCCAGGTTAGAGTAAAAAAAGGGGAGAGGGGAAGGAAACAAAATAGAAAAATATCCAGCTGGTATCCAAAGAGGTTCAGTTTCCACCCTTTCCCCTTCTCCCTCCCACAAAGGAGCCAGTCCTCTGGAACCAGAGGGACCCCCTGCAAAAAGAGGTGCTAAATGAAGACGTACTTTCACAGTACTGAGATCCATGGGGTGTTTGATAATATCGTGATAGTCATGTAATTCCAAGGCCTCTGCATCCACGGGCTTGTAAAAGGGCCACGCATAGGCTGCGTGCTTCTTGGAGAGCATCTCCTTGAGGATGCTGTCACAGTACTTGAGGTGCTCAGAGAGTTTGCCCTTCTTCCCTGCGTGCTGAGGGACCTCTCCATCCTCCAGGTCTTTCTTTGGTGGTTTGATGGGGCGGCCGCCGCTCTCCCTGCGCGCGATGATTTTGGCCTGTTTGGGGTCCGAGAGCGGCGTGGGGGACTCGCTCCTGCTGGCAGTGATGGCAGACGTGGTGGGGGTGGTGGTGTCAGCTTTCCGCTTCACTCCCTTTTTCTGAAACAGCACAGGAACAGGCTCCATGAGTGCATGCCCAGCACAAACCCTAGCACAGCTCATCCTTAGTTTTGCCTGTCCTCTGACAGAAAAAAACCCCAGTTATTTCACTGGGGAGAATGGATTTGTGACTAGAGGCTCCAACAGTAACCAACGCAAGCCCAACCATGGCTGCAAAATGTGTTATTTCCCTGAGATAGAAGCCAGGACTCTTACCTGGTGTTTGCCCAGTCGATTACTGCAGCTCAGCTGATGTATCAGGACTGAGCAAGTGGCAGTAACTCAACCACATGTCTGAGTCCTCAGTGGCAGGATCAGGCTATAAGCTCTGAACCAAAGCATATTAATCACCAAAGACCCATGAGCCCTCACTCCCCTGTATTTAGTGGGTGTGCTAAAGTAGATTTTGCCTTAAGCAAACAAACCCTCTCACATAAATTCAAGCTGGAACTGTCCAGTCAGCTCTCTCGTGCTCCTATCAAGGATTTATTTCTCTGGAGAGGGAGATAGGAAGGAAGAAGTTCCTCAGAGAAATCTCAGGGAAATCTTAAGTAAATCCCAAGCAGAATTAATTTTGCAGTGTCTATCCGGCAAACTCACTTCTGGGTTCATCCTTGAGTTTTAAAAAGAAATTGATTCTCAGAAGCAAGTTATTTGGACAGAAACTGAAATGCAAGACAGGTTTCCGAGGAGAACAGCTTAGCTGCAAGATTTGACTTACAATTTCTCTAGTAATTCCCCAACTATTGGGTTAAAAAGCAAAACAATTCTGTGCCTCTGCTGGTCCAAGCTGTTACAGTTAATTCCACAGTTTAAACAAAAAGACCCCCAGCTTTCTCTGAGCTATGCTTTCATCATTTTTAAAGCAATTCACAGCTTGCTAAGAAAATTTCAATTATTTAGGTAATGTCTTAATTTACCCATAAATTAACATAATAAATAGCAAAACACCGGTGACAACTCCCAAAAGATTACTCAGTAAGGAAGACAGAACTAATGCACCCAAACCTGCAGGCAACATCAGTCTCCTCCAACTGGAGTGACAGGCTTGTCTTGAACTGGCTGAAAGCAGAAAGGAGCATTCCTAATGCTGGAGCCTGCAACCATTAAAGGAACAGCCCCAGTAAAATCAGGAGCTCAGTCAGAGAGGGAAGAGATGCTTTGGGCTACAGACCTTAAAGGAAGAGCCCCAGTAAAATCAGGAGCTCTGTTACAGAGGGAAGAGATGCAACTCTTAAAGGAACAGCCCCAGTAAAATCAGGAGCTCAGTCAGAGAGGGAAGAGATGCAACTCTTAAAGGAACAGCCCCAGTAAAATCAGGAGCTCAGTCAGAGAGCTTTGGGCTACAAACCTTAAAGGAGCAGCCCCAGTAAAATCAGGAGCTCAGTCAGAGAGCGTTGGGCTACAAACCTTAAAGGAGCAGCCCCAGTAAAATCAGGAGCTCAGTCAGAGAGGGAAGAGATGCTCTGGGTTACAAACTTTAAAGGAACAGCTCCAGTAAAATCAGGAGCTCTGTTACAGAGGGAAGAGATGCTTTGAGCTGCAGCTCTTAAAGGAACAGCCCCAGTAAAATCAGGAGTCAGATACAGAGGGAAGAGATGCTTTGAGCTATTTGGTGTTAAATGGGGAGAGTTCCAAGAGCCCTGGAGCAGCAGCACAGGGAAAGGCTGTGACAGGAGAGGCTGGAACTGATCTGGAGCAAGCACAGGTGGCATCACCTCATCTGGACCACGTTAAACCTGGCAGAACCGTTCTCAACCCTCTCCAGCTCGACGTCCGGCGATGAAAGCAGGACGGCAGGGATGCAGCAGCGAGGGCTGGCAGTGCAGCCCGCCTCCTGCAGAGGAGCTGCCCGCGTTTACCTTGACGACCGGGGGCGTGGGAGGCACCACGGGCATGATCGGAGCGGCGGGCGGCGGCGGGGCGGCGGCGGCAGGGGCGGCGACAGGCGGGACATTGGCGGTGATGGTTGGCACGGGGGTGGCAGCGATGACGGGCGTCTGAGACACGGCTGGAGGGACGTTCTGGAACGGGGCCGGCGGGGACACGGAAGACACGGCCACGGCTTGCTGCGCTCCTTGGAAATGAGAGAGGGGAAAGGCGCTGGTGGGTACAGCTGGGAGGGTACCGGGAGCAAACTGGACTTGGCAAAGGGATGCCGGGGAGAGCACAAAGGGCACAGTGTGGTTTGCTCGGTGCTGTTATACCCAGGGTTGAAAAAAAGTGAGGAATCTGTGAGCTAAGTCCTTGTACCACGGGTTTAGGTCAGCCGCACGCAAAATAATTGCAGCTTTTCATATGGAGTGTGTGTTGCTCTGGGACAGCCTTCACCCCTCAGGTGCTACCAGAGCTGCACTGAGCTCGGCAGAAGAGCAGGAGGGGGAACAGTAGGAGGTGTTCACACCATGCAAATGGCAACAACCACTGCCCTAAGCACCCGGGAGTCCAAAGCACTCCAGATTTGCCACAGGGGTTGTCCTGTGCAGGGACAGGAGTTGGGCTTAGTGATTCCTGTGGGTCCCTTGCAACTCCATATTTTATGATTCTCAGTAGAGTTTAAGCCTCCTGATGGTCTCGATGTCTCTGATGCTACACCTGACTGCTAAAAACCTGCCTACTGTGTAAATTAAAGGGGACAAACCTACTACCTAAATAACCAAAGCAGCAATCCTCCTATGTGTTATCAAAGGATGTTGAAAAGATACATCATCATTAATTTCTCTGAGCTTGGATAGATTTATAGCTCCATTTAGTACCTGAAATGTGGGAAAACAGAAGAACAATTGACTTTCCCAGAGCAACAATTAGACCTTGTTTAGAGGGAAAAAAAAAAACAAACTGCCATCATTTAACTCAGCCCACACAAGGTCCTTTATGAACTGTTTTACCATGCTTGGACATTTTAGTCCTAAATCCATTTAAAATCAATTCTAGGTAAGCTGAGCTAAACCTAGCTTCCACTGATATGCAATGGTGTATGTAGCCTTTTGCAATGGCTTAATAAATCCTTTAATTTTATGATGATGTAATCATGTGTGCAAAAGAAAAATAGACAGGGTTTAGTAAATTAGCAACATTTGAGTCCAAGTCTCTGCTGTGCCAGATTTCTGCCAAGACCCAGGGTGAGCTGTGTAAACCCAAATCTGTAAAGACTTTCCATGCCACGCTCTGGCACTGACAGCAGACTGGCATTTCTGACTACCTTGTTTTTTCTTGCCTTGGTTTCTTCTTTGCATAGAGAAGCTACAGCACTGGCCTCCCTAACTGAAGTGCTGCCTGGATGGGCAAATCACAGATGGCAAGACTGGTGTGACAAATGCAGGGTGGCCTTGAGACAGATGAGCCCTGAAACTCCGAGTGAGCATCTCCCAGACATCTCACACCTTCCTCCCCACTGCTTTAACCGTGAGACCACGCTCTCCCTTCCCAGCCTCTTCACCATCTGCAAAGTCCAGCAGTTTGGAAGGGGGGGTCAGGCCTCGGGAACAGCTCCCAACATTCCCTGTGCCTGCATGGATCCATGGATCCGTACCTGTGCTCTGTGTGCCCGCTGAGGGCTTGCGACCTTTGCCTTTAGGAACTGGGGGTAGCAATTCCACCTCCTCCTGAGGCATCTGGGCAACCTTCTGCAGGAATATCTTCTCCAGGGCTTGGGCCATGAGGACAATGTCATCTGTGGGCTGCACAAAGAAGAATATGAGCCTTTGTTGTATAGTCACATATCTGAAGCAGTGAGCTTAGAAAACACTGAGGCCCTTCAAATAAATTATGGTATTCAAATGCTGACAATAAACAGATTAGCTCCTCTCCCTCCTTGCTTGCCACTCTCCTGCTCTTCTATTCTGCTCTAGCATGCAATAATTACAGTGCCTAAGTGTGCTGCATCCAGAGAATTATCAGGAGTTCAGAAGGAGCCTGATAAACCAGCATCCAGTGCAGCAGTATGGAAGCAGCAAACTGGAAGGAATAAGCTGTCCTTCCCTGCTTGCCAGCAGGTCCAAGGGAAGAGGCTAAACACACATTCTGTGGCTCAAACTAATTAATTTGTTTAGTTCAGCTGTTCTCCAGTCTGGGTCTATGATGACAAATGACTGGCGAAAACAGAACACAAAGAATTTTAACAACCTAACAAAACAGCAAACCAGCCAAACCCAAACTAACAATAGTAATATGCAATCTAAATGTGTGTAAGTATGAACATTTTTATGGAGACAGAGTCAAAGAACAGAGTTATGATTCTTGAACTCCTTTCTGCTGCTCACAGATACTATTTAGTGCCAGACAGTCTAACACACAGCATTAAAGCACCTCAAAACACCTGCAGAGCACTGCACTAAGTGCAGCTCATCCCAGAAAACTCCTAACGGAAAATAAAAGGAGTAAAAACTTGCTGCATAACCCCAAAACAGAAATCTACCTATAATTAAAAGGCATATTTGCCATTGTAACTAGTCTGGGGGAAAAAAGAGGCAGCACAAAGACAGCTTTGTGCATTTCGAGTAACGTGGTTGCAATTAGTGGCATTTCAAATCCTCGCAAGGAGGGCCCAGAGCTGGCCCTGTTCAAAACCTGCACAGTCACAGGGGTAGGTGGGTGTTTTCTAAAGGCTTTTGTAGGTTTTTTTACCTTGTTATAAATGTAACAGTTTGTAAACATGGTGTTGAAATCCTGCATACATTCACTGGCACTCCAGTAATAGTTGTGCTCCAGGCGCTTCTTGATTGTCCCCATATCCATGGGGTTTTTTATTATTTTGTGATAATCCTGTTGGAAAAACAGGGAAGATGTTGTATCTTCTGATTCAGTTTTGTTCACATCTCCCTCTAAACCCTGCTTTCTCCTCATCCCCCCTCCTAAAAAATACCCCCTCAAGTTTTGTGGAAATTGTAAATGTAAATACATATATATTTATTTTCTAATTTGCATCTTTTTCGTCTCACCATTATTATGAATCTGACTCCAAAACACACATCCTCCAGTCTGGGAATCAGCATTTCTGCCTTCTTTTTTAAAAGGCTGCCTCTGGCGCTTACAGAAGTTTATCAGGGCTGGCTAAAACTGTGCTCAAAGTTTCAGTCTCTAATTTTAAGAGCATTTTGGCCTTTAAAAGGTTTCCACCTGTTAACCCAGTTCCTCCCTGGGCTGGTCTGGAGCACCTGCAGAGGCTGTGATTAGCCTGGGGACGCTGCAGGGCTGTGCAGTGTCATTTCCTCGTTATGGATTAGAACACCAAAGCCACATGAAGCACTGGCTGAACCCAACACCATCCCAGGCACTGATATTTCCCCTCTCAGCAATCCCAAACCTGACCTGACCAACACAAAGCTTTTTTAGGCTGAGAAGACGACAGAAACATACCGGCAAATTCAGTTTAATTGCATCAACAGGCTGGTAGAAAGGCCAAGCAAACTGATGCTTCCACAAGGTCTTCACCACAACATTTTGCATATATTGCAGCTGGTTGGTCTTCCTGCCAGGTTTATTGGGATTTGTCACCTCTGGAGGCGGCGGATTCACAGGGCCCTGAGGAGCCTGGATCGCTGAGGCGACTGCCGACATCTTCCTGCTCGGGCTCTCACTCGCTGTCACTGCGGCAGCAACGGGGAGATTTTCTTTCTTCCTTTATGCTCCCTGAATGGGACTGACATCCCATTTCCAGGGTGCAACCATACAACCTAGAGCAAACTAGAGAGAAAGAGGGAGCAGGGTGTAAATACGGATTTTTGAAGCAGGCAGGTTGAGACACTTCTTCTGTGGACAGTATTTAAACTCAGGTTCTTTTCCCCACTGACTTTGCTCCTGGAACACAGTTTATCTTGGAGATGGGAACAGTTCAAAACCCAACAGACAGTGGAACAGCAATTCCCAAATCCAAAGCCTGCAGAGACACAGCAAGCTTCATGGGACTAGCTCCTGCTTTAGCTGGCTCAGAGAGCATCTTCATGTCAAGGAAACACTCGGAGCAACCCAAGAATCTGCTCAGGGAATACAGTTAGGATGCAATGCAGGCTCCCATGAATGCACTGATGCAAGCTGCTAAATCCATAGCTTCCAGCTCCATGTCAACTGAACTGCATTGTCTCTAGACCCATGCTGGCACCGAGTCAGCTCACAGGGCTCTGCTCTGGTGCAAGGAGTAGACTGAAATCCTGTAAAGAAGAGCAGACGACAGCTGCCAGAGGACCTCAGTCCAGGGAAATGAAAAAAGGGGCAGAGTGAGATGCTGTGAACTGCTGAGAGTGAAAGGTGTCACCAGAAACAGCTCAACTTGAAGTTATCTGCACTTCCAATCTCATAAATGTCTTATTATGCCTCTTACTGCACGCACCTGACTGGTTCTGACCCCAGTTTTCTATTAAAGTTTAGAGATCCAGGCTCAAACAATAGCTGGTGTTACACTGATATCCCGTGACCTGGCTCAGACAGTGCTGTCATGTTCTCTCTCAAAGACACATTTGAAATAGAGGAGAATACATAAATTGCATTACTGTATTCTGGTTTTCCCTCTGCAAACGGCAGAGGTAAAAATAGCCCAGTATCACTGTGCCTTGTGTAGCATATGGTAAACAGCTTTGCTATGTCATCTTCCATAAACATTAGATATTTCACCTCACATCAGGACTGCAGCTACTCATCTCATGGCAAACAGACCACAATCACTTTCTTGAGGCAAATTACTTCAAATATGTTTAGAAAGCCATACAAATACTCTGACATACACTTCTTGGTTGAACAGAGAAACATAAGCAGGGACAGAAGCTGCAGCAACACAGGAAGGAAGAAGCAGGGAGACATCCCAGTAAAAACCCAAAAACCTCTGCTTTAATACAGCCCTAATCATCTCTACTGAATATCTGGACTAAATATAGAACATCAACTTACCCTGTGAGCTGCTGATTAGATGAAGGCAAAAAGTAAACACATACCTAACTTGGGGAAATTATACCAAAATAGCTGTGTACAAAAAACAGATCGGCAGCAGAGAGGGAGGGAACTGCTAAAAACCTAAACCAAACCCCTGCATGAATACATGTGATTATTTGTGCAGGAAACAGACAAGTCCAGCTCTGATGCTGCCACCATTTGTTCACAACACCCAATATATTCCAAGGATGGAGAAAAATGCCAGTAGGACTCTCTTGTGCCATGGATTAAGTATAGCTCCAGAATCAGGTTTCTGGTCCCTGCTTTTTGATAACTCAGGAGCCCAGCTTAGTTCCAAAAGGACTGGTTTCTCATGTGCTCATGCTGCTGGTGACAGGCAGGGTGATCACCAAGCAGTCAAAAGGGATGCTGGCATCTCCTGGACAATGAATTTCCTAACTAGAATCTTCCTTGGGATTTCAGATTTGGAAAAAACTGGGGAAGGATTTTCTCCCAGTGTTCCATCAAGTCAAAGCAGCAGCAGAAATATTGCAAAATTCAATCTTCAGATCAAGGGGGGTAAATAGACAAATAATTAAAAACAACAAAAAAAAAGATAATTAGGAAGTTTCACTCAGTCTCCTTCTGGGGAGCTCCCTGCATGGATTCAGGTTTCTGAGCAACATCCATCATCCCAGAGAATGCAAGGCTGGCTGCAGGCCCCTGGTGACCACCACTGAAGCATTTTGTTTGCTGTCTTCTTGACTAACAAACTGAATCCAGTGCAAGGATTGAGGGGAAATAAAATACCCACAGAGAGCAATTCCTGCTGCTAGAGAGCATTTGGGTCACAAGTTTGAAACGATGCAGTGTAACTTAAGTCTTCCCTTTAAATAACCTGAGGCTAAATACAATTCTCTTTTCATTTCAATTTTCTTATGTCCTATCTCTCAAACTCCAAGTTGATAAGGATTTTTAATTAATTTGTATTAAATCCCCAAACTGTAATTCAACAAACCATAGATCCACAGCTCCTATCTCTCTCAGACTTCTTCTCCCTGACCTTAGCCAAGGCGTTCAGTATCTTCACCCCACAGCTCCTCATCTGTGCCATGGAGATAGTGGCAGCTCCTTTCTGTCCCCACCCAGCAGAGAAAACTCTCTGGGACAGGCACTGCCTCTCCATGGGGCCATTCTGATCCTCAAGCTTAAACAGGGCTTGTACAGTCCACATGAAAGGATGGAACAGTCATCAGTGACACAACACAGAAAGGATTTTAATGAAGAACATTACCAAAACAAGGAGGGGCAGAACCATGACAGCCAACTTGGTCAGTTCCCTGCTCCTCCTTAACTTCCATGCTCCAACACACTGGTTTTTACACCCAAAAGTGGCTCCAAACCTCCCAGCAGCACTGGCATTGAACTGCTGGATCCTGCAGAAGACAGAAATAGCTACCTGGACTATCTGACAGCACTGGAAGTACTGTCCTGCCATAAATAAAGCTTTGATGTGCCTCACTGCACCTTTAACCCTTGGTCCAGCAGGTTCCTCACCATTTGCTGGGGAAGCTGCTTTGATACTAGATCACTTTGTAATTTTTTTAAATTAAGAATTTGCTTCTACAGCCATTCCTTTACCTTAAAAATCTCAAAATGGTAAACTTTTTAAGAATGTGAAAGCAGGACTATGAGGAATCTGGAAGATTAGGGTAAAAAATGCTTTGAAAATATCCAAAAGGCAATGACTTTGAATTAAAGATAAATTAATACCTAAGAAATCTAGTCCATGTGAAATATCATTTATAAAGTGAAGGAACTGAGAGCCCTGTCCATCTGACATCCCAAATTACCACACAAATCACCCAAGAGGACACTTTAGTAGACCCACAGACAAGAATTAAGCAAGCTTCTACAAACTGTCCCATAGCTACAGGTAGAATTGAACTACACAGCTCTTGTCCAAGCACTGCAGCACTCTCAGAAACTGCACTGGTATCAATAAATATTTAAACTATTAGGGACAGAGACTCAGGACATCACTGTACAAGGTACTGTACAAGCCTGGAGCGAAGACTGCCAAAACCAGACACCATGTGCACCTTCCAGTGAGGGGCTAAAGTGAGACTTCTTTTAGCCCTGCAGTAATACCTCCTTAAATTTTAACTTTTAAATCACTAATTATCCTGTTTCTCAGGCCTACTATGTTCAAGTAGCAGGAGCTGTTCTTGATTGCTCTGTCTGCACACGTTGTTTTGATATTACAAGTTTAAAATACACCCTAAAGTGCTGTCATACACCAAGAGTGAACACTGCTTGTCCTTCTTATTCAATCTGAGATAGTTATTAAAAACAAAACCCAAAACCTCAAAGAGAGGAGGTTTTAAGTCCTGGAATTTAAGTCTTTTTTTTTTTTTTTGCTAAGTTGCAAGCTCAGTGTGGCAAACCACTCATCCAAAAACCCAGCTAGACTGGACAGATTTTTTTTTTCTTTTAAAAAAAAACTTTCTTCCATCGAGTCTCTCACACAGGGTCAGTCAGCGGAGAGACAGTTGGCATGGAGAAAACATGTCAATAATTCCCTGCACTAGCAGGCTAACATTTTCCTGTCTGCAGTGGTGGGGACTATTTTAAAAGCAGCTCTGAAGCCCCATCAAGTGTGCAGTGTGCCAGCTCTCCTGCTGCTCCAGCCAACGGCTCTGCCACTTCCTCTGGCAGCGCCCACCATGTAACGGATGCTTTGCTCCCGTGCAGGACCCGATGGGCTTTGTTTTGATTGCAAACTTACAGCAAGCTTTATGTCAGCCTGGCAGTCCCAACAACTCCTTGGTTTTTCTCCCCTCCCCTTGGTATAGTATTTCTGCGTGGTTACTTGGCCATTGATCAAAATCTGGCAGGATTCCAGCTCGGCAAAGAAACAGCCACATAAATCTTCCCATCAGGGAAAATTATCGAGTTTGAGAGATGTTCCTTGACCTCGCTGTTATCTGCACATTTTTATTTACATTACAGTAGCACACAGAGGCTGGGCAGAGACCAAGGTCCCTTAGCAGTTCACACTCTGCACACACAAAGACCCTGTTCCTTCCTCAAAAGGCTGCTGCTCACAACTCACACTTTACACCACGGTGAGGTGACTTGCCCAGAGTTCCCCAGTGAGCAGCCAGACCCAATATTTGCCAGCAGGGCAGTCATAGCAGCATCCTCCCAACTGCTGCTCTGTTGCCCTGATTTTAAAAGTGTTACGTTTTATTTTATAGTTCTTTTGAAAGTTTTAAAGTTCTCATCAAACTTCTTTAGCCTTCTGATAACGTTTACATATTTCTGCTGGAGTTCTCACACACTGTTAATGTAAATAATGATTGTTTTGCATTCTTCTTTGTGGGAGGAGAAAATTGATGGACTGTTGGTTTGACCAGTGTGGTTGGAGAGGTGGCAATTTCATTCTCCAATCTACTGTCACTTTTGAAATTCTGTATATTACGAGGTGAGAAATAAAATTTGCTCTTTTTCTCTCTTGAACTCACCAAGCTTCTGTGTACTCATTTCGTGTGCAATGCATTGCTTCCCCACATTGGCTCCTTGCAGCCTCCACAGCAGATTTTCAGTCTTTTTTCCCAACAATTGGGCATTTAGTCAGATTTGCTACCATGTCAGAGAAGCAGCCAAGTGTTGGTTATCTTGCCCAGACTTTCTCTGCAGGAGAGGTTCAGCACTACTGAACCTCAATACAAAGTCAGGTAAGGTTATTCATGAGGGTTGTACCCATTTCATTCTGTGGCTGCAGAAATTAAATTAAAGGCTACGACAGTCTCCTCAGA